TCCACTCCATCTTACGTATTATCAAAGATGGTTCTGGGTGGTATCACTAGCTGTGGCTTCCGAGTTAGTGGCCAACATTCTAAGAATCTCCCAGTTGCAGGCACACCTTTTCCTCTCTGATTTGTATGTTTATGGAGGTGGGGATGACTGGCGAATTAGAACAAGGAGGGCTTTGCAGTGATGGTGACTCCTCTTCTCTTTCTTTCCCAGGAGAGGTTTGTCTGACATTTCCTCACCTGGTTTTCCCACCTCTCCATATCCCAACCTCTCCTGCAGAAGATGCACACTTTAGATTTCTTATTTAAGAACTGAGTGCATGTAGAAACCAGGAGCTGATAAGCAATTGCACTGAATATGTCTTTGTGTTATTTTGGTTTAATATTCCAGAGTTTTATAGTCTATTAGTTTGAAGTTGGTCTGCATTTATAATTATAAAAAATAATATTCTAAACAATTCGCTTATAATACCACAATTTGTCATATCTATCTATCGACACAATAAAAATGAAGACTGAAAACTTACCAACATATAATTAATATCTAATTAACATTTAAAGTTATCAAAGTACACAGCACAATGTCTTACGCAGAGAGTATAATTCACACTCAGATATATTTTTTTAATCAGTGATAAACCATTAAATATAATCTGTGGTATAGCATGTATATTTTCAAAGAATTTTCAAGTAGGATCTCCTTACAACTATCTCATTTTAAACATAGCCTTGGACTCACAACTAAATTAACTGAATAATATGTTTTAATGGCAAAGATCTCTGTATTACTTTGACATAAACAGCTCTCAATTCTTCCATTATAACTTCATACAACCATCTGGGTATGGAAGATATATTAAACATGGAAAGATTTATTTTACAGATGAAGAAATGTGCTGAAAATTATGTGCACAAAATTTTACCGAAAGAGCACACCTAAAGCCAGATGTTTCTGGCCTTGTATTTTCAAATTTTTTTATTGGTAAGAACAGATAACATAAGATCTACATCTGAACAATTTTGAAGTACACAGTAGAATATTGTTAACTATAGGCACAGAGTTGTACAGCAGATGTCTAGAATTCACTCATCTTGTGTAACAAAAACTTTATGCTCCTTGAACAGCAGCTCCCCATTTTCTCTCCTCCCAGCCCTGGCAACCATCTATTTCAATGAGCTGGACTATTTTAGATACCTCATAAAAGTGGAACCATGTGGAATGTGTCCTTCCATAACTGACTTATTTAGCTCAGCCTGATGTGACTCAAAGAAATCTTTCACTAATAT